GGGGGGGGGGGCAGAAACTGCCATTCAAACTTCCCTCAGCGATTTGGAGGCAGCGGCATACGTGCGCTCGATCCCCAACGAACACGCGCGTGCCAAGATTCGGCACCAGCCTAAGAAGAGGCGTGCCAAGTGGCACGTGCCTAGATCCCGGAAGCGCAGGTACCAGGTGAGGTGTGCAGTGACGAGGAGCGGCGTGGAGATTTACCACGCCAGGACATTCAAGGCTGTCAAGTTTCAAGCGCTTCAGAGCAGCCCAGAGGTGAAGCAGCAGTTGGAGAGTCTTCACGCCTGACGGATTAGCCCGTGGCTACTGCGGGCCAACTCCAGTGCCAGACCGTGCCGTGGCCTGCAAACGTCCAGAAGATTTTGTCGTGCAAGCGTAACAACGTGCAATTCCCAGATCTTGGGAGCGTCGACCGCTGCAGCTGCTTTGGGGATTGCTTCTGGGATACGTGCTCTAACGTGGCGTCAGCGTCGTTCTGCATCCCCAAGTATTGCAAGCTTGGGGCGGTCTGCAGCAACGCACCGCGGACGCTGGTCACGCTCAAGCTCTTCGAAACTGGACGAGTGGGACTTGGTGCCTACATGACAACTGCGCTCGACATTAGGGACGTGCTGGGTGAATACTGCGGGGAGCTAACGGAGTTCCTCGCAATGGTAGAAGGGCAGCCACCGCTCGCTGTGAAGCAGAACAGCGGCTACACGCTCTTGTACAACGCGAAGTCGGTCAACAACAACTTCGTGTACGTCGACGCCCTTCGCTGCGGCTCCATTACCCGCTTTATTTCGCATTCCTGCGAGCCGAACGCCGCATTCATCGAGCAGCAGACGCAAACGCTCGTTCGCGTGCTCGTCAAGATGATCAAGAGCGTCTCAGCTGGGGCCCACATCACCGTTCACTACCGTAATGAACGGTGGTTGACATGCGCCTGCGACCGATGCTGGAAGGGCTCCAGGGTGAAAGAAGAAACCGCCGACGAGGCGTAAGTTGAAGATGTTGGATCATACTCGCATGGAGGAGATAGTGCAAGGTGATAGCGACGTTAGCGTGGAATCAGATTGTCTTCTTGCGAAGTATTGTGCACGTGGGGGCTGAATCAGTCGCTGATCGCATAACAGCAGGTCATTTAAGGGCTCTGTGCCGGGAATGAAAAATGCCTCGCACTTAGGTCACAACCGCAGACAAGAACTAGGACTTCATACCCTCCAAGACTACGAACACAAAGCCATGAAGGCGCTGGAGCACCTGAATCTCTGTAACGGAAATATTCATTCATACCGCCTCCATTGCTGCAACCACCCGTCGCCGGCGTTCACATCCGGAGGTGTTGCGTCAATCCACTGACAGGGCTGGCCCGATGGCCCGGGGCATTCCTCCGAGAGTCGCGATGCCGTCCTCGCTACGCTTATGCCCCATGCGGCGGCTTACGAGGATACGTCGCCCTGCTCCATCCATGCGATCGGTTGCCCTCAGCGCGTAGACGAGATGAACGCATGCACCGAACTTGAAGCAGTAGTTGCAGAGGCACATCTCCTCCTCCGTCGATCTCTTCGCGCCTTCTACAACGATGCGCTTCGCAGGATAGCCGAAGATGTGCATGACGCCCTAATCGCCCGCGATTCTATCAGCTTCGATGTTTCGGAGGAGCAGCTTCTCGCGTACGAGCTCCACGACCCGACGGGTCAAAGTTGGGGCGGCCTCGGGCTCCATGCAAAAGGGACGCTGCCTGCTTGGTTCGTGCATGCAGCAGCCACGAAGCTCCTTCAGTAGAGTACCCATTTTCAAGCGCCGACGCAGCGTATAATCCCGTTTGAGCACCTTGTTAAACTGCTCAACGGGATTATTAGTAGTAGCAAAGCCACTAGGCGTTGAGAAGCACTACCATAGAGAGAAGTGTCTTCGCAGCCACTGCTCCTCGAGATACAGGCAGAACCCCACGAGCTCCGGGTACATCTTCCAGGTCGATAAAAGCTGGTCCCGCAGACATGAAAAAGCGATCTGGTCCCGCGCGAAGTGTAAATCGTATAGCCCTCCAACTATAGCAGAAGCCACGTGCGAGGGGAATTCTTTCAAACGCTTTTCCACGTTGGTCATGACGTGGTAGAAGCACATGAGGTATTCCGTGCTGGGGTTGTTCTGGAACACAGAGAACACAGCATTCCTCTGGCCTTGCTCAGCGTCTCCCATAACGAATCGTGGCATGAGCCTCAGCTGGGTGATCCACGAGAAGACACGGCTGAGAGCTGCAAGACAGCTCTCATATATGGGCTGCAGCCTCTGCGACACAATGAAAGAGCGCCACCAAATGAAAACTACGCGCTCGATCAGATATTCCAATGACGATCACTGGATACTCGGACGTGTTGAGTTTGAACGTAGCGTCCATGTGTAGGATGTAGCGCTCGGGGGAGGGGGGGGGCAACGTCAGCCTGCGCACCAGCGCCTTCGTAGTTAGGCCAACCACGAATGGCTCCTCGTCGGAGCCGTCGCCGACGATAGGCTTGCCCTTCTGGTCCATGTCCCAGGCAAACGTGAACACGTCGTGCTCGCCCTCACTCCAAGTGTATGTCCGGCTGTGGATCCATTCGGTTAGGTCGTCCAGCCGGGCGTAATTATCCAGCTCTCTCCTGGAGTAGTGGTTGCAGAAGTTCTGGACTTTGGCCAAGGGAGAAAGGTAATCCGCAGGAAGCTGGAACTTCCGAGCCATGGCGTGCTGGATGCGGAGAGGTCGCAAGCGCTGCTGAGCCAACTCTCGGCAAAAGTCTTTCTGTGTGCCGGACAGTCTAGCACGCTTGGGGGAGGAGGAGGCGGTGAAGTGCTCCCCCAAGTCGTATATGTAGGAGTCGCCACTGTCCATACATACGAGGACTTTGCCCCGCCACGAGCAGGTGACCTCGCTGCATGTCGACGACTCGCACTTCAGCAACTTGTACCTCATGCCGTGGTGCGAGCCGGCGCCACAAGCCGTACACGGCATCGCGTTGTTCTTCCCTGTGCTATGTCGTTTCATGTTACTCAGCAGCTCGTCAGCTTCATCGGTGCTGAGATCGCTTCCCACCACTCGCCAGGGCAGCTTCCGTGGCATCACTCCTCGCTTGGTTTCTCGGGAAATGGGGTTGTATAACTGACTGGCATCGGGCTCAGCCTCATTGGCTACAAGTCAAACTGGCTGTGCACGAACCAATTGGCTATAAGTCTAGCCGCCCACGCGTCATGGACGTGGCCGCTCCGCTCCTTCAACGCACGCGGTCGTGCCTTATATGCACGAAACGTGTGCTTTTCATGCATCATGTGGTGGTACCGGGCTATAGTGTGCTGAGAAGCATCTTCCTGTGGAAATCCACGTTCTTGGGTGCTGATCATGGTCTACAGGCGCCGAGACATATCTTCGTGAGGTTTTCCACCTTTGCGGTGCCGACTCAACAATTTTGTGTGGATTTCACTCGTTCTCTTGATGTCCGTATTGTTGCAACCCCCGGTGATATCGTCAACGATAGATCTCTTTATCTTATATTGGAACGGCTCATCGAGATCGTCAACGATAGATCTCTGATCTCAAACCGAAATGGCTCATCAAGATCTAGGTGAGCTCGCATTGTGTTAGCGTGGTCGAAAAATGTTCATCGGATGCTTCAGAATATTGTTACCAAGGTGTCGGGTTTCATGATGACGACTATAGTTGTCTGAACGGGGAGCAGGCTTGAAGTACCGCATGCTCGTGGTTTCTTCCGCTTGTATCTAGGTTTGGCTTCACGGCCAAATTTGATGCAAAATTTGCATGCTATGGCAAGTGCTGCAAACGATTCAGGGTGCCGTTCGGAGGTTTCTAAACCATAGTTGAAATCGTGTTCACGCTGGAATGGTGTCGTCAACGCCCGTGGCATGTCGCTACTTAAATACGTGTAGCTAGAAGCCGTTTGTCGGCGCTCGTTTCCTTTCGAGAAATGCAAATAATCACCATTCTCGGTTGGGAAATGACTTCTGTAAACTTCTAATAGCAGGCCATTCAATCTGATATGAGCATATCATACCTGTTTGCTTTTTAATGTGCATCGGACAGATATTTTCGTATCAAATTGGCGATATGTCGGCACTGGGCTTACGCACAAACCTAACAATTCGCCAGTTTTAGCGAGGGTCGGATAATTTAATAGAGGTAATACGAGAGAAATTGGGCCGATTTCCCTCAATTAATGGGGCCTGAGCATGCATGTCTGTCCAGGATGAGTCCAAATTGGTGACACTTACACATTAGTACACAATACCACTAAAGGTATTAGCTGTGTTTTTACTCAATCCTGAATAAGTGGATAGTATCAGTTTGAACAGGAAATGTAAATTGGTGGTTTCCAGGAAACACCGTGACTGAAAACTCTAACCAACTCAATCACTTTTTCTGCCTCCTCCTACACAAGTTCCTTCATCCTGAACGCCTTACCTCAATAATAATGTTAAATCATGGGAACCAACACATGTGTGCAAATCGCAGTTTTCATAAAAATAAAAATTACTTTGAATTACGCTATATTTTATTCGCTATCGCTGTCGAAGCCGCCATTGGCTTCGATGTCGTCGTCTGAGTCAACATTTCCGTCAGTTAGGCTACAGCTCTCCAATTCCACGACAATGCTACTATTTATCTGCTCGATTTCGATACTTGATGCTTCTCCCGCTGTCCTTTTGTCGCCCAAAATGTTAATCTTGTCAAAACCACTAATAATCGTTTCTTTTGGACAGATTGTCCCAGGATGTCGACACCCACTCGGCGATGCCAGCTCGACTCGGCGGCTTTAAAGTAAACGGCTTCTCTTTATGCTTTTTTCGGAGACGCCCGACTTCAATGTCGACGTTCTCTTGTATCAGCTCCTTGTGAAAACGGACAATCTCTCTCTGGATGTTTCTCGTTTTTTTCGCTTTTGCTCTCCTCTATGGTATTCTATAAGCTGAACTCAAAGTCGATTAACCCACAGAGCGCGAAAAGCAGCTTTTAGAGGCTTGTTCCACGATATGTCTGCTGGCTGGCAGATATACATGTAGCGTGGTGGTACCTTAAGAAGTACAACGTTGACAGGTGCCACATATTGCTCGACATCAGTGGCCCAGTGGCAAAAAGAATTTTAGAAATTTCACCGATAAAACTAAATTCCGCTAAGCACATCGGTTACCGTAAATTTGACAGTTGTGGCGCTCTTGCAAGGGTCGAATTTTGCGATTCCACTTAGTCGAACTGGATCCGTGACGCTGTTTGTCATTCTGGACGCGTTTTTCTTTAACCTTGGACGGAGCAATCTTGAACACCTGAAACGTTGGTAATTCGATACCTTCCCAGTCCACTAAGAGCATTGCCGTCGCTCGTGCCTTCTCTTTATTTCCACATTTCACCCAGACAGGTTTAACTCCACGTTCGGATTTAGTTTATTTCGGAATATTCTCGTAATTCACCGCTAAAATATATTGTCAGTGAAAAATTAAGTTCAGAAATGATAGCTTAAAAAATAAAATGATAAATCCATACCCGTTCGGCCTGCATTGTAATCTTGTACGCTGTTTTCTCCACAACCGTCTGTAAAACCTGCGTCCTGAACACTTTTGCAGCTTCATGGGAGTCATCTGGCGTCGTTTGTCCCTGTCGTGTGAAAGTTAGTGGCGTCGAAGAAATAGCTTAATCCATGTCGACGTTGCAGCGAATTTGTCTCCAAGTCCGACCTCAGAGGCAATGGCTTTAGCGTGGAACTGTAACATGAGACGGGAGACTGGGGCCCCTCCATCCTCAGAGACTTCAACCAAAGAACGATGGAAGCTTTGGTGTCCTTGCTAAGTTCAGTCACGTCGCCAAGACTGCGCAGCTTGAGATGATGTCCCCGGCCAGATTCACATGCAGCGCGTTGTTGCTGTCTGCTTCATCCACTTATTGTTTTTTTAGCCCGAACTTCATTGCCCTTTAACTCGCCACAGAAGTTTTAATGGTCTCATCAACGGTGCGACCGTCCTCGATGTATCTGAGGACATCACGTTTGTGAGCATATCCCACAGCGTGCGTTTCATTTCTTGCCTTTGTCATTTTTGCGAGGACGACCCATGATTCTCTTGGTTTGCTAGCGTGCTTTGAGGTCTGACTTCTTATGGAGTGTTGTTTTACCTGCACTGAGTCTAAAATTAAATGTGCTCTTTCGGTAATTAACAAAACCTCTTCAAGAAAATGGCTGGTTCTGCGTGGACCCTATGCAGCTGTCCCTTAGCAATCAACGTCGTTTATGACTACGACGATGCGGTACTCGTAAAAAGAATCGCCGACGAAAAAAAGTTCAATATTCCTGAAATTGATAGTCATGACACCCCTTCCATTGTTAAAAAGTAACCTTACAAAATAAGTTAAAAGAAAAAAAGCAATGTGTATTAATGCAGTTTTGTTACCCTTCGTCACAGACAACTGGAGCCTCGGTACTACCAACACCGTGGACACGGAAACGACCGGTAGCATCGCGTGGTCCGACCGGGACGATTCCAGCCCTCACGAATCCCTTGACAATCACTTCTTCTGGGATAGCACTCCACGCATCCGCAATGTTGCGGGAGATCAATGCCCGCTTTTCTTTAGGTGTGATCGGAAAGTCATTGTCAATGTGGTGTTGCAGATACAAAGATGTAAATAGTATTTCAATAGCAAGTTAGATCAGTATAACCAAAGCGAGCTAGAAAAAACAAACGCACCTCACTCGATCCTTGGATCTTTCATGACGGCAACATTCATGGGTTGAGTGATCCCAGTAATGCCTGACGGCACAAACTCAACTTTGGTGCAGCACTCTTGTTGAAGTACATAGCGTACAGTCGCCATCTTATGCGTCTTCAGACTATCCAACAGAGGGAGCCTGCAGCCGGTTACCGAGGGCTTCCACACCTGCCGTTGGAGTTCTACTTTGGGATGTTGAAGGGCTATTTCCAGTTACTCGAATTCTTGGATGTAGAAAATGACGATATCATGGAGGTCCTGCCCTCGCCTGCGTCGAACAGTGCCTCCGAGCCTTGTTTAAGGAGCTCAATGATGTAGAATCCGTCGCCAAGGCGCTTCAAGGTCGCGACGTGGTTTGCTGGATGTCCGACAGTGGTTTGACGAGCTTATTGCTCTAAAGCCACAGTTCGAGACACATCTCGGTACGTTAATGATAAGTTTTATTTTTTTGTATTGTAGCTCTAATGTTATTATCTATTATGTTTAAATAGGCTCTAGATCTGAAATCGTTCACAAACCTGACTTTGAGTCAGGGTGTGTTCGTGTTCTGAGGGGCCGACAGGACCGCCTGACGCGTGCGGAGAAAACTGCCCTTGGTCCTTTCGCAAAGCTGGCCGTCGACGCAACGGTGGAATCGGACGACGAAGATCTTTCGTTTGTTGAGCGACTTCGCAAGCGCCGCCGGATTGTCGAACCCTCTGTGTCCTACGAGCAGCTAAAGACGATTCCACCAACGTCTAACGTGGTGGAACGCTTTTTTAGTGTGGTGAGGGTGACATTTGGCCACCAAAGGCACGGGTTGCTACCTGCAACGCTGGAGATGGTCTTATTTCTCCGTGAGAACCGTGGTTATTGGGATTCAAGCACGGTCAACAGCATCAATTGATGTACATGTTTTTCAATGGAGAACTAAGATAATACATTTTAGTGGTCTCCATTACTCCGTTATTAATTTGCCGTCATCGTACAATGACATAATTTATTTGCTAGAGTATTGAGGAGATAACGCATAATGTATGTTGTCTACCTTTTGTCTACTAAATAAAAATGCCATATTCGGAGGCCCTGTTCTGAAGTGACCACTGGATAGCTGGCGCCGAGTTCTATGGATTGATGTGTGTGGTTTGCCCAAAACGGGTCGTTTGATTGACAAAACGCGTTACCCCTGGTGTCGTGCACTGTTAGAAGCCGACGGATATAGATGAGGTTTACCGCACACGTTTTGTTCTGGGAGAGCTTGGGAGCGTACTTGGCCAACATCAACAGCAAGCACTCCGTTGAAACACACAGCGACCTATTCTTTCGCATGTCGACAATCCAGTCGAATAGCCTAAATGTACCAGCAGGTATTTTGTAAATACATAAAAATTAAGAAGAAGAAATATGATACATACCTCTTCTCGAGAACCGGATGACGGATGCCAACTCCGTAACAAACCAATGGGTTCTGCTGAGCAGCATTTTCTATGTTTGTACGCTGCTTCTTCCATCGGTACAGTGTCGAACGATCAACAGAAAAATTTGCTGTTGCAGTAATAGATTCTGCTGCGCTGAGACACTCGATTACCTAGGCAAAAACTATTAAATATATATAATACAAGTAATAAGTATTTTAGTTTGTGTACCTGATGCTTCTTGCGATTCTTGTTGTTAGGTCTTCGTGGCATCTTAGAGCATCTCCAGCGGTTAGACTTATTTGCAAGTCCTATTGAGGCGGATGGGACCTCAATTGTTTTGAATAGAACTCCTGATTGCATCTTGTCTACAGCGGTTTGGACTCACAGCGCGACTTAACTTTTTTAGTCCAATCAAACTACGACACAAAAGATCTCTCTAAATACCGCATTACCAGAAATTCACGAAGGAGTGAAGCGCTGGTGACGTCAAGTATGGCCGACGACGACTCGGAAGAAGAGTACTATTTCACCTACATGTTACCTGAGGGAGGGGTGGACAACACGAGCGCAGTGCGGGGCAAACACGGCGGATCTACCAAAGGCAGGAGAGCAAATAAAGAGCGGGATCGAGAAATATGGGAGGATGGTTCTTTCGCTGCATAGTAAAAATTTTGTGACTCGTAGCTGGCGGGATTCTGGAAGAAGATAGATAGATGGAGATTTTGCTCCATTACAGCGACCTTCTTTACGGTGGCAACAACGAACCTGAGATGAGACTTCACCCCCAATCGAATGGACTGCAGTGCTTCCTTGATTCCCCTTAGATTTGGCGTTAGCCGCCTTTGCTGCTTTGCGGCCTTCTGGTCTCTCCACGGACGCGACATCACTTAACCTCGCTTGATCCCAATAGATGAGGCCGATGTGATCTTGTTGGTCCACTTGGGCTTGTCCTTGAGCTCTTTCCACGCCGCAAGAAACTCGAACGGCTGTTTGTGTCGCTCTTGGTAAACCTTCAACGCAGCGTCCAGATACATAGCGTCATTCCATCCTGAGCTCTCTCTACTGGTGACCTTTGCATATACACCACAGAACTTCGTTACTTCTGGCTGCAATTTCTTCCATCGTCCCATTATCGCGACCTCCGTTCGTGGATCCTTGTCTTCTGGTGTCTCGTTTTCCAGCCAATGGCTATACAAGCGACTGCTGAACGTGCTCTTCTTCTGTCCTGCACCACGCACTGCGTCCTCCGATACCTCCAGCCACGACAGGCAAAGCTGTATGGTCTCGCTCTCGCTCCACGCTAAGCCCTTCCCCATCGTACTGCAAGTTTCTGTTCTCTGAATATTTATATTCAGAGTTTTAGGGGCAATCGCGGACCGTCGAAGATCCTATATAAATAAATAAACTGTACCCATTCGGCCATTCGAACTTAGCATTTCATCATAAAGACTGTTTCGAGAGTCGGAATGTTTTGTTACCTGCCTAAAGTCTATTCAAAATTAGTGAATGTTGACCCAGTCGGTGAAAAGCGACATTCGCTCAACATCTCTAGAATGTTGACCCAGTCGGTGAAAAGCGACCTTCGCACAACATTCCTTATACCGAAGCTTGATTGGCTGAAAAATTGATTTTCACTTAGAAGTGGCAAGTTGCCCTCGGCCGCCTTGCTCAGCAACAAACTTACGTCCACTGGTCACGTCAAATAAACTACAGTAGTTAAACTGAACGCTAATACGCAAATATTCAGAGCTTCTCCGGGCACGGCACGGCATTAGTCAGTGAAGGTTTCCTTTCGTTAACCTGAGGTTTTATATAAAGTCCTTGGACCAGAATTATAGATCTTCCTGAAGTTAAAACTAATAATACCACCGACGGGTGGGGGCAATAAAACTTTACGATAGATTTATTTGCGCAACTTTTAGGATAAAACCATCGTTAGAGCCTACCGCTGGAGATGCTCTTAGCGCGCGAAAACTAAAATGGACGCGATGGCATTGTGGCGGAAAGTACCCCGTCCAGTGGCGGATTGTGGTTTTTATTAACAACGAAACTTTTTACATATTCAGCCCGTGGCCTACGGTATGATCTGCACATCGCTGTGACAAAACCATTCAAGCTGGTGGCTGCAGCGTTAATCTTCAAATTCGTAAAGCGCACTTTGTTTAGTACTCGTTATACCACCTTACGTACACATCTCGTCACCATTCAACTGTTTGCTTCACTTTGCTCCTCCTTCTATCTTGCATCATCGACCTAAGATAGCGAAGCAGGTTGGCGCGAGTGCAGTCCTTCTTTACCTTGCGTTAGGACTTCGCCACACTAGCATAGTCCCCTCCGATCGTCCATGTCAACCTACGTAGTGCAGGGCCTTGCCTACTTCGCAACGCACCCGCGTCTGTGGCTCTCGACGCTGTGTCCGCTACTTTTGACACTCATCGTGGCCATCACCTCCGTGGTCGTGCTCTTCTCCGTCGCTTTGGTGCCTCAAGCCGAGGGATTGGAGGATGCGGGTGTAGCCAAGTGGCTCTCATGGCTGCTGGCCGTCATGCTCGTACTGGTGGAGATCTTCCTCGTCACGCTCATCTACAACCTCGTCATCATGGGCTGCTACCAGGATAAGGTCTTCGAACAGGTTATGGTTGCACGCGGCTTCAAGGAGATGGTGGAAGATGAGGACCGTCACGCCGGTTGTGTCCGCGCCTGTCGCTCTTGTTGCCGTGTGAGTCTCTGGCTACGCCTCATACTGCTGATCGTGACACTTCCTCTTAATTTGATCCCGATCATCGGCTCCATCATCTACGCGTGGCTCAATGGCACCATCTTAGCCTGGGAGTATCATTTGCTCTACTTTGAGTTCAAGAACTTCAACTACGCTCAACAGAAAGCCTTCGTCAAAGAGCACAAAGTGCAGTACTCGTCCTTCGGCATGCAGGCACTACTCATGGAAATGATCCCAGGTGTCGGCTCGATCTTCGTGTTCACCAACACGGTGGGGGCGGCACTGATGGCTGCCCATTTTGAGGAGGAGGAGGAACGCGAGCGCACGGCACTGCAACATGGTGGCGTGCAGCCCAACTACGCCAACACCAACGCGTACAACCATGGCTACGTGCCGTCCGGAGGCATTGTCTAGTGTAGACCTCACTATCTATAAACGATAATGTGCCATATATCGAGGACGCACTCACGGCAGCCATTATGAGAGGGATGCAGCCATGTCTATCTCTGAAATTTCTCGCTGATGAAAAAGTATCCTTGTGGTTTTCCTCATTTTCAACTTTGCGAAGTCTCAACGCAACATGTCGACGTACGTAGCTCAGGGGCTCGCCTACTTCCTGTCACATCCGCCGCTGTGGAAGATGACCTTTTGTCCCGTAGTTTTGACGATTGTCGTGGGCATGACTACGGTCATTGTGCTGCTCGGTGCAGCGATGTATCCGCAGGAACAAGCGCTCTACGACGCTGGAGTGCCGGAAGGTCTGGCCTGGGTGCTGGCTATCATGTTGTGTCTCGTGGAGAGCTTCGTGATCGTCATGATTTACAGCTTGATCTGCCTTGCCTGCTACCAGGACAAGATATTCGAGTACGTAATGCGCGAACAAGGGCACACCGAGCTCGTGGCCAACAAGCGCAAGCATGCGTCATGTATCCGTATCTGCACAAGTTGCTGTCGCGTGAGTGTGCTACTGCGTCTCGGTCTGCTGGTGGTCTCGGTGCCTTTAAACGTTGTGCCTGTGGTAGGCAACACCATGTACGCGTGGCTGAACGGCCAGATCGTGGCGTGGGAGTATCATTTCTTCTACTTCGAGCTCAAGAACTACAGTTTCGAACAGCAGCAAGCGCTCATTGACGAACGTAGTATGCAATACAGACTCTTTGGCATGCAAGCGTTGCTGCTGGAGATGGTGCCAGGTATCGGAGCAGTCTTCATGTTCGCCAATACCGTCGGCGCCGCTTTATTCGCTTCCAGTATCGAGAGGGAGGAAGCCGCCAAGCAACCGCCGGTTCAGACAGAAGAGCCCGACTTGTATCGCTCTCTCGTGTAGAATGTAGCTCCACAAGTTTCTTGACTCAAATAAGAAATCCATCTTCATCCAAGTCCAGTATCCATTATCCATATTATCTCGTACAAATTTCACAATTCACAATTATCATTCGACTAAAATCTCAATATGTCGACTTATCCGCTGCGAGGCGTCCTCTACTTCCTGGGAGACCAGCGTCTCTGGCGCTTGTCCGTGTGCCCCGTGCTGCTGACAATGGCCGTGGCGTTGGGCGTGGCCATCACGCTCTTCACCTTGACGCTGCATCGGCAAGAAGAGGCTCTTTATAACGCCGGACTCTCCACGTTCTTCGCGTGGCTCATAGCTGTGATCTTCGTGATCATAGAAGTCTTCATCGTCACCCTCATCTACGGCCTCGTTACGCTTGAATGGTACAAGGACAAGATCTTTGCACACGTCATGATCGAGCGTGGTTACCGTGAGCTGGTGGAGAACGAGGAGCGCCACTCGCCATTCCTGCGGGTGATGACTTCCTGCTGTCGTGTGAGCATCTTGCTACGGCTGGGGCTGCTGGTGATCACACTACCGCTTAATATGATTCCTGTGCTGGGTAACCTCACGTATGCATGGCTCAATGGCACGCTCATGGCCTGGGAGGCGCACTTGTACTACTTCGAGATGAAGGCGTTCGATTTTGACCAGCAAAAGGAAATTATTGCCGATCGGAAGCTTCAGTACTCGGCGTTTGGCATGCAGGCGATGCTCCTGGAGATGATCCCCATTGCCGGCGCGATTTTCATGTTCACGAATGCTGCAGGCGCCGCGTTGTTCGCTGCTAGTATTGAGAAGGACCTGGAAAAGCAGGAGCGTCGAAAGAACAGCAAATGGCACTGGGGTGGCAAGGACAAGGAAACCAAGAAAAGCCTCGAGGTGGACAAAGTGCCACTTGTCAACAAACTCGGCGCGTATGTCCCGCCGTATGGCAGCACCTCGAAGTAAAGTTGTATAGTCTGATTGAATGAGTTTCTACGAGTAGTATGCAACCAGAACGCAAGCTAGCTATGCACGATAATACTCGCTACACTCGAAGTTGATAGTTCTATCGTTCAGGTTGTCTATGCTTACATATTTTAGTCAGCAGCTCTACATGTACATACCAAGAATGATTGCCGTCCCGTCATCAGTAGCGCACACCAGCATCACTGGTAATGAACGGAAGTATCATCAACATGATGCTTGAGTCTACTAGCCATAGCACCACTCGAGTTCGATGTCTCCTTCCACACGTCATTCACTAATCAACCAGCACGTGATCGTCCCCAGTCTTGCGCGCTGCTATGACTTTGTTTGCATTGCAAGGTGTCAAATACTTCCTGCTCCACCCAGCACTGTGGAAGGAAGTGACATTTCCCCTCATCCTCACAATTGCGTTCGGGGTGGTAACAGCGTTCTTCTTGTTCTCACACACGCTATCTCGTCAAAAAGACTGGCTGGATGACAAAGATGTACCGAAGCAACTTGCCGAGATACTAGGGCTGTCCATCGTCGTGACGGAAATCTTCGTGTCCACCGTTGCCTACGGCATCGTGTGCGTCGATTATTTCCAGGACAAGATCTTCGTCTTCGTCTTGAGAGACCGCGGCTTCGGATCGTTGCTGGAAGGCCATGAGCGCCGCTCAACTGCCGTGAAAGTATGCACGTCATATTTTCTGTCTCGCAGCGTACTCGGCGTTATCTCATTACCATTGCATTTGGTCCCGATCCTCGGCAGCCTCGTGTACGCGTGGCTGCATGGTAGTGTCTTGGCGTGGGAGCAGCATCTCTTCTACTTCGAGATCAAGGGCTTCGGTTTGCTTCAGCAACAGCACTGGGTGCGGTGTTACAAGGTGCAGTACTCAAGCTTCGGCATGCAGGCGCTGCTGCTTCATACGATCCCGTGTGCCGGCCCGTTCTTCATGTTCACGAATGCATGCGGAGCTGCGCTCCTGGCCGAAGAGCTAGAGCGCATCGACAGCAGCGACAAGCGGGCCGATGAAGAGAAGACATTGATCGGGAGTAGCGACAGCAGCGACTTCGACTACGACACGGTCTAGCGTAGCATAGGAAGTGGGGCGGAACGTTCACAGCAACTTGTAAATCTGTGACGTGTGCAAAAGATCTGATTCTGACGTACATATCAGCTGCTTCAGGATTGCTCCGCTCGTGGGTACAAAATCATTTGAGGAGCGTCATCAATACTGGTTGCCTGTATCAATTTGATCCCCTGTCTCTCGGGTCTCCACTCATTTGGGCTGCTACTCATCAGCCATTTCCCAATTGGATATTTGTCGTGCATCTGCGTCGGAATCTCGATTTTGTAGCAATGCCGTTCTACGCTCTCAAGGGCGTGAAGTTCTTCATCGGCCACCCGCATCTGTGGAAGCAGGCGGCGTTCCCACTGCTGCTGACGCTGGCCTTCAGTATCTTCTCGGTCTTCCTGCTCTTTGCCTGGACGCTTCGACCGCAGGAGAACTGGATGGCTGAGAAGGGTCTGCCTTCGGTGCTCTCGTGGATCTTCGCAGTCATCTTCGTCATCGTGGAGATCTTCCTGGTCACGCTGCTGTACGCATTCATTGTGCTTGAGTACTTCAAGGACAAGATCTTCGCTTATGTGCTGCGCGAAAAGGGCTACGCTGCCCTCGTGGACCGCGAATCTCAGGAGTCCGCCGTCGTGCGTGTGTGCTCGGCGTTCTTCCGCCTGGACGCCATTTTCCACGTCATCCTACTCATTGTGTCGCTGCCGCTGCACCTGATCCCTGTCATTGGTAGCATTGTCTATGCGTGGCTGCACAGCACCTTCATGGCCTGGGAGTCACATCTGTACTACTTCGACCTCAAGGGCCTGGGCTTCAAGCAGCAGCAGCGCTGGATCAGCCAGCGTAAGTTCCAATACACGAGCTTTGGCTTCCAGATGCTGTTGCTGCAAATGATCCCGCTTGTTGGCCCGCTCTTCATCTTCTCCAACACATGCGGAGCCGCGCTGCTGGCCATCAAGATGGAGCGCGAGGGCGGCGACAAGTGGGTTGACGAGGAGGACGACGAGGCTCTGCTTTCAGGCAAGAAGACTGGCGTCTACGGCACGGTCTAAGCGGCGGACGAAGTGTAAAAATGTAGGGGTACTCGTGAGTAGGGAGCAGTTAAGTGCCAACAAAAATATGACCTCCTCAATCTCTAAAGTATGATGCAACCTTCACGCTTTTCAACGAAATGCTGTCATCCCAACATGCATGACCTGTTGCAACTTGTAACCCTGCAAGAAGGTGTTCTCAGAGCACTGTTCTCATCAGAAATTCGATCCTTAACAAGTCAATAGCAATCTTCCAGCATTCCAGTGGAAGTTCCAGGATACTGACACCACTACGATTGGTTGAAATAAAAATCGCTTTCAGCCAATACATGAACTGATAAATGATTTTTGCTGGCCAATCGTCCCGTGTGGAAATGTACCCACACCCTAAAAAAATAGTCCTGCTTTTTTCTGCTCATGTGGTCCCTGGTTGATGTGACGCAGCCAAATCGGATGATTGAGTTGGGAATACAGTACCACCGCTCGGCCAACACAACAGTGACTGCATTTCGTAAAGCTACTCGCTTTATATCCGTGAGAATCCACTGTGTTGATAGCATATGCCAGTCCGAATAGGCCGACGCCTGTTGTGAGTCACAAGTTGTGACATCCGACCAAGAATCTTGGAGAAGCTAGGATATCAAAATTGGCGCCTTTCAATTCGTGCGCCGATTGGTCCATTTAATTTCGAAGCCATTTTTCCCTCGGATTTTTGCCAATCAGCATGCTGATCAAATCTGCAGCTGTCACCCATCCCACCTTCGCTTGAAGGTGTCGCGCCATACTGAAAACAAGTCGGAGCGAAAAGATTGCCCGATCCTCACCCACGTGCGTCCAGCAGCGTCGGGCAACGCCGCATATCACTTTCGATTTTGCTCCGTGAGAAGAAGTCCCCGCCCAACAAACTAAGCAAAAATGCCGATTACCTGCGGAGATATCCCTCGCCTGATCTGCTCGGTCATCATCCCGCCCGTCGGTGTGTTCTTCCAGGTCGGCTGCACCAAGGACCTGGCCATCAACTGCCTGCTCACCGTTCTCGGGTGCGTAATACTAGGACTTGCCAGTTGACTTCCTGCAAGCATTTCTCTAACTTTTCGTTCCGCTTTGCGCCGCCAACAGCTACATCCCCGGTGTCATCCACGCTGTCTACATTTTGATCAAGGAATAGAGCAGCGCCACATTGAAATAAAAGATGTGGCGCTGTGTTCTCTATGAGTCCACGGCAAGTGGCAAGGCTTCTTCAGTCGACGCAGAATAGCAGAGATACGGCGTCGACGTGGATACCAGATAGATACTTCGCGAAAGAGTTCGCGTCTTCCCTCTCGTACAGTGGCGTGTGGATTCTCAACGGTTTCTTTCAGTTTGTCGCTGCGGTTGGGACACTTTGCACATTGAAGAGGAGTGAAATGCTCTCGTACAATGGCAACTGTGTTGTTGGCTGTGGTGGCTGATTGTGCAGTCGCAGTTGGAGATCGCACACGTACATTGAAGAGGAGAGTAGATAACGGCTACACCGATGTTTTTGTTTTTATTCGAGGAGATCTGCCACTTGTAGTGGGCCAAAGTTAATATAGAGATCGATATCGATCGATCTTTCTTTTTTTTTTTTGTCTTTCGCCAGTTGTGCCAAATCAGTTGCCGTCAATGATTCAACAAAATTGCAGTGATGAAAAGATCTTTTCTGCCACTGTTGAAGTTTTTGCCAAGAGCTCAGAAGCTGCTGCAACAATGGGCCACGCTGTGGACGACGCGGATATTTGGTTTGAGGGCGACGAGCACCGTTCGTCCTCCAGCGCCTCGGGTTTCGATTGGGACAAGACTGCGCGCTTGATCTGCGCCGTGTTGCTGCCACCGCTCGGGGTGTTTCTGCAAACGGGCTGCAACAAGGACCTGGCGATCAATGGGCTACTGACGCTGTTCGGGTGCGTGGTGCAATAGCAATTGGACTAAATCTGATGGAGTGAAGATGCTAACGTTTTCAATGGCGTTTGACCAGCTACGTGCCTGGAATCATCCACGCCGTCTACGTCATATGCGTGAGTTAGCGCCAACGTCCAAGGAAGGCGAAGGCCGCCAGCAATAAGAGATGGAGCGTGAAGTTAAAGCGTTGAAGTTTGCCTTTTCATTTTGAAACGTTCTAAAAGCCACACAGACAGTTTGCTAGCTTCTTCTTGACTTCTTGGATGATCGTCTCAGCACGGGAATCTAGCTCACTCCACATACTCAAAACGGACGCAGGGCCAACGATAGAAGCGACAGCATAGACTTGGTCTCCCTCTGTGTCATCTAGACTCAAATTAGAGACGTAGAGCAGTAGAGAGCCACCTCCAGAGGCATTCACCTCTCGCACCAGTCGCTTAGTCAACTCGTTCATGTCCACATGATGGTGGTGACGAAGCATCGTCTCGTCCAATGTCGACGTAGGGCACGTGAGGCGGAATGCGATCGTCGAGGCCTCAGCAGAAACTGCCAGCGTTTCAAACCGCTCGTCAGCTTGAAGCTTTGCAGTACAAGCAACACGACTCGACTCATTCTCTTCCAACTGGTCTGTAGATCTTGACAAACACGTCTCAAGACTCTCGAGAGCTTGAGCTTCGTCAAACTGCTCTCCATCACTACTGCGGCTACTGAAGCCGATCACAACAAACTGCGTCTTTGGAGTCGATTGCCAAACTCCAGCGTTCTCGACCTCCAGTCGCCGCTTGCCGCTCAACTGTACCACAAAGCGGTACTTTGGCAACTCGCTAATGTACATGACTCCTTTAGCACGCAGCGTTCCGTGAGGCAAGTGATGCTGAATCCAGTCGTGCACTGCTGCAAGCGGAGTCGGTTCCGTCCGCTCGAATGCCACTGAGGAAAACGCTTGCGAAGGAGGCACCTCATTTAAGGCCACTTCCGATCTTCTCTCCACTCGCAGACGACTTGATGCAGGCGTCACGGCGCCATTTAACGCACTTAAGCCCGTGTTCCATTGCGCTTGCACCTTCTCATGACTCACTCCGCCATTGAAAACATCTTCAGGCGGGGCGATATCCAACACATGTGGCAAGTACACTTGACCGTGATCCGTCTCGTACACTCGAGCGCTAGGCGCATATTTCTCGATAACCTGCCGCGCAGTCTTCAGCTTGGTTTCGTCCAGCAAGTCCACCTTGTTGAGCAGCACCACATCAGCGCATCGTAGCTGTCGCACAGCCACGGCACAGGGCTCCACCCCATGCAGAGCATCTTGGGCCACTGCATCTCCGTCCACCACTGTTACTACCGAGTCCAGTCGAGCTCATGTCATCTTGCCGAATTTCTCCTGCACGGCCGCGACCAATTGTGTGGGATCTGTTGTGCCACTGGTTTCCATAACGAGGTAGTCCACATGACCTAGTGCTGCAGCGTCGTCGTCCTCGTTGAGCACCTGCCACACGGCGTCTTTAAACGCATCCAAGCTGCTATTCGGGTCTGCTTTAAGCTCGAAGAGCTTGTTGCCGTTGCCCGCTAGCTGATTGGCCACCAGCAGCGCGTCCACGTTGATAGCGGCCAGGTCGCTAACTGCACAGGCCACGCGAAGGTTCAGCTTGTGCTGCAGAACGTGCTGAAGCAGCGACGTCTTGCCCGCACCCAGGAAACCGGTGACGATGGTCACTGGCAGGCGACGCTTCTGCGCATTGCGAGCTAGCAATTGGCGCTCGGCGCCGAGGCACAGGTTCACGCGGGCCGCAGCCAACTCTAGATCCGCCGCCGTCGGCATGCCTAGCTTTTTGAGAAGCAGTGTCGCGATCTGATTGGTCAGAAACACACTTTGATTCTAGAAGTCTTTTTTGCATTTTAGAACGAGGTTGAAGCTGTTTAGAACTTGTTAAAATGTTGTTGTCGTTGTGCGCTTCTTGTCTTCTTGCGTCGTGTCCCGGAAGGAATCCTTCATCACTAACTGTCGGATGTGGTCGTTGGACATCGATGGTGTGTGTGACTGTGGTCTTCTGACTCACTGTGCAATTGGCTTTCTATCACCAAGAGACCCTATCGAGTTACCTTAGCCATGGCGATCACGTGGGGAGATTGTCCGCGTTTGATCTGCTCGATTCTGCTACCACCGCTGGGCGTGTTCCTCCAAGTAGGCTGCAACAAGGACTTCGCTATTAACTGCCTGCTCACGCTGCTAGGGTAAGCTGTGCACTATTTAAGTTTATGATAGCGGTCCATCTAACGGCGAGATGCTTGTTATTGTCGCTGAAGATATATTCCTGGTATTATCCACGCCGTGTATATCCTCGTCAAAGAGTGATAAGTGATGTATTACCAGGATGCCTGTCGGACTCCCGCAACTGAAGGCGGTAACGACAGCGGATTTTAGTTAGCAGCTATTGACAAGCAAGAAGCAAGAAGCAAGCAGCAAATTTACAATGAAATTGAATGTCAGGCAACAAAGCATTCGGAAACATTGGGCTTGGTCATTTACATATTGGACACTAACCGTATTACTCCTTATGAACATGCATTCCTAGTAGAAATCCAATATCACTCTTTTTTTTCGAGCGGCTTCGATGGTGTTCCCCAAAACGTACGACCAATGGAGGTCACGCTCCAACACCCGGCATTATTGCTAAAGTTTATCTCCAGACAAGCGTCACATCGATCCTTCGCTACCATCCTGAATGGACGAACCTTTGGTCTCCGGCGGCATCATGCTGCTTATCTGCTTCGGCGTGACAGTTATCATGCAGTGCAGCTTCTTTGCCGTGGCTTACACGTGTCAATTCGACAAAGTGACGGACCTAGCGGGCGCCCTCAATTTCATTGTGCTGGCGGTGCTGTCGCTCGTGCTACAGGACGTGTACGACACCCGCGCCATCGTAGTTACCTGCCTCCAGGTGGCTTGGGCACTGCGTTTAGGCTCCTTCCTGCTGATCCGCGTGCTCAAACGTGGCAAGGACGAGCGCTTCGACGAGATGCGCGCCAACTGTCTGGCGTTCTTCGGGTTCTGGATCTTCCAGATCCTATGGGTCTTTTTGGTCTCAATTCCGGTGATTCTGGCCAATTCGTGCGGTGACCAGATCGACGGCAACTTCGGCGAAGCACGAGACATTGTCGGCATTGTTATCTGGGCGATCGGAATATTGGTAGAGTACGCTGCTGATGCTTCCAAGTCGGCCTTTAACGACGACCCCAACAACAAGGGCAAGCTGCTACGATCGAGCGTGTGGAAATACTCACGCCACCCGAACTACTTTGGCGAGATACTCTGCTGGGTGGGAGTAACCATCGTTGCCAGCGCTAACTTCGGCAGCAACGGGGGCGAGACGTGGTTCTACTACGTTAGCTGCATCAGTCCCGTGTTCACATTTCTGGTGCTCATGTTCCTGTCGGGCGTGCCGCTTGCCGAGGATCGCTACGACGAGCGCTTTGGGCTGGATCCAGACTACATCGAGTACAAGCGCTCGACGAGTCCATTGATCATGTTGCCACCGGCGATCTACCGCTCGATCCCGGACCCGATCAAGCGCTGCTGTTTCTTCGAGCTGGAGCGCTATTCGCGTAAGCTCCGAGAGCTACGCGACACCGAACACAAGGTGCCACCCACCAATTACCAGGCCATTCCGGCGGAATCTCCGTAAGTAAGTTCATAATAAAACTAATGCACATGTGTTGTCTGGTAATGGCTTGCAGGCCGAAGCATCCTGATGTGGCAAATGTCTCTGTTACGGTGTCCAAATTCAGTTTGCATTGCACTCTGCGACGTTTGGGCAAAAGATCCAGCCATTGTGCCTCTCAACCCAACGGCCAAGTAACCAACTTGAAACTTTTGCAAATGAAAGTCCGATTGAATAAGAAAATCAAGTGCGTTCTCCTAAAAAAAAAAATGGAATTGGAAAGCATGGATGGCGAAAAGCTAAGCGATTCTCTGGGAGGCTGTTGTGGCCACGGCGCTCTGCTCGCTGGCTGGCACTGGGCCTCCGTCCTAATATTACATCCACCAACGCGCTGCTGCCGCTCGCTGCCGTTCCAGCGCGTTCTCCTCCGTCCTTCAATCTCCAGCCGCGCTGGCTCGGTGCGGTACTAGCTCCCGAAGTCAGCACTTGACTGATCGCGAGCCGTCGTCGCCGATCCGTTGCTCGTCTGCGCGGTGGTCTCATAGCCAGACCAGGCGGTCCAGCTTACAGCTTCTCCAGCTTGCTGAACTCGCCTCCGCCAGGGTTACGGCGAGCGAGCTCGGCGCGGTCTGCCGCCTTGAAGTCGAAGGTGCAGTTGTGCTGATCCTCGAATCGGTGGCTGCTGCAGAACACGTAGCCGCATCGGCACTCGATCGCCGTAAGCCCCACCTTCTTCTTGCACTCCCAGCAGCGCTTCTTGTTCTTCTGTACTAGCTTCTCCGCCGGCTTCTCGGTCGTCTCCTCCTTGAGCGTCGCGCTGTTGTTGTCCGCAGTTTCGGCCTCGGCAGGCGTGGCCGTCTCCAGCGTGGCCGCTTCGTTCACCTTCTGTTCAGCCGCTCGGGGGGATGCAGTCGCCGCCTGACGGTCCGACATGGTCTTCTTCCAGCACACGCTGCACATGCCACCGCTGCCCGGCGCGCCAAAGAAACCGCAGCCGTTCAGGCACAACTCCGCGCTCTCACGCTCCTGCTGCATGGTGTCGATCTGTAGTTGTAAATAGACAAGGGGGAAGACAAAACCCTTCTGCTCTCCGCTGTGTATCGCTGGCTCTGTAGCAAACGCCCGGACCTGCTCCGCTGTCGCCTCGCTCGCTTGTTCCCCACCCAGAGAAACGATGAATGCTCCTCCGTTTCTCTCTCTTCTCGCCCCCCCCCCCCTCTCTCCCTCTCGGGCGACCTTTCCACGTCCAGACCCCAAATTGATCACTAGTAGTTTGTATGTTTGACCTAACCGCATCTAGGTCGGACAGGGGTTCAGTTTGCCATACTTAAAGCGAGTTTGCCCTCGCGTTCTGAGAAAGACATGTCCCAATTGGACAAAATTCAACCGTCCCATTTCAGCCTGACAACCGAATCAACACGCGACGACTGCCTATTGGATGAAATAATGAGAATCTTCTAGAATCAGATCTTAGGCTCTCTGATTCATTTGGAATGATTGTAGCTGAGAGTTCTCCAATGTCGAAATTGCAACGTTCATTCATCATATTTTCTGGTATACACATGAACGTTTGTTCTTGGAGCTGGTATAATAGTGTGTTGCGGCTCAATAATGCACTGCTAACAGGTCCAACTCGTATGCTAACTTGCAGCATAAACAAAGTATAGATCAACCTACAATCCGCCAGTCGCAGATTGCGCAATCTGAAAGCATATTTTCTTGTGGTGAAGCTGATAAGTTCGACAGGAGAGGCTCGAGGACTATGCGTTCCGTTGGCACAACTATTTTGTGGTGCTTCTTGTCCTTAAATTGCCAGTGGATCTAGGATTGACCTTGAGATAATGATCCAAACCAGAATTGAGCAACAGTTCTGACCAAGATTTTGATTATGATCGGAACGATCTTGAAGTTGAAGGCAACTTCAGTTCACTCTTTTCGTGTTTGAAACTATCGACTCCAACATTAAGTATAATAAAGAGAAGTTGGTGATAAAGGTAAACTACTCCACGTCTATCAAGATAGGGAGGACAGGCAATAAATTCTCCAATAGGCATTTACATGTACAGTAAAGGCAATGGACACTCTGCAGGCTACAATACCAACTGATAACGAGCACCGCATGCATTACAGCCTACTTAGTATATACATACACCACGTCGTCATTCGCTGTGCAAAACGATTCGCTTCAAGTGCAAAACTCACCGATCGAGCTCATTCAAGATTTACGCATCATTGGCAGGCCGAAACTGGGAGTGCATCTTCAGAGCTGCTATTAGCAGTACTTTTGCTGTCCTCGCTGATGCTATTCCCCAGGACACCTCGGCAAAATGATGCTCTTTGCTATTATCATTGGAAGACTCAAGGTAGTACGCTGCATATGCTTGTCCGGCTAGTGCTTCACACTGTGGACCACAGTCGAGCCTCCGCGGCAAAGGTCACAGCGCCATTGCGGTCGTTGATGGCGCCCCCCGTACTATCCATGACATGTGCTCCATGACGCCTGATACGCTTGTCTTTGGGAAACTGCTCACTTTTTTTAGGCGGTCGAATATATCGAGGATCTCTTCGCACTTGCACTTGTAGCTTTCGAAGCTCAGTTCCCTCGAGTAAATCCATGTTGTCATAGTGCCAGTGGCATTGCATTGGCCGTAGTGTTGGTAACTTCGAAGTTTTTGGCCGGATCGGGCTCAGACGATCGTTGATGACCCGGGATTACCCGAGAAACAGATGTCCAGAGACAGCCCATAACGGTCGCAGCATACTTTATCCAAGTGAGCTGCGCTGCCCAACCCACTCGATCAGAGGTCTCTCAAAAGGTTGTCAAACTGTCAGGGTTGCATGTTGCAACAAAGACACTTTTGCTCTCGACGACCCCACGCCCCATGGCGTCTAGCTTGCCACCCGTCCAGTTCAGCGCCTCGCGCCGCGCGCAGCTCGATCGCCAATGCGACGACCTCATCGACCGCGCATTGCGCACTCATGATAATTTCCACGCGTCTGTGAGTCTCGGAGATTGGCAGCGTGTGCGCCGTCGCCACGCCATGAACGTCTACCGTCCGCGGTCCGCACAGGGCTCTGAGGGCCCGCGTGTGTTGCTAGGCAGCGGCATTGTGCCCGGGACGCTAGATGACGCGTTGAACGGTGTATACTGCGACTCTACGGAGAGTCTACGCATCTGCAAAAGCCTTTTAAGCGACAAGTTCGTGGACGGAGCCGTACTGCGCGTTTTCGAGGCACGCGACCTCCGGGCGCCCATTGTATTTGCCGGTATCAAGTGGTTCATTATGCGGGGCATCGCTGGAACCAGCGGATTGCTGAGTGATAAGGATATGCTCACGTACGAGCGTATGGGGCGTATCAGGGACCGCAACGGCCAGTACTTCGCCTACCACGTACTGCAGTCGATTGACCTGCCGGAACGTCCGGCCAATCGAGAACGAGGCCTGGAACGTGTGGATGTATCGTGGTGTTATCTGTATCGACAGCTGAGTCCAACCTGGCTGGGTGTTTTCTTACTGGGAGACTTGACTTTAGACACGGTGATACCGGTTAGTATATCGAGTTATATTGCAGCGGAGCGGGTGCTAAGTGCAGGGAATTTCCTGCGAAGTGCTCGGGCTAAGCACTTTTCAGCGTTGATGGCACAAAGCACGGAGAAGACCCCAGAGAAGGGAGCTCCACACTGTACCGTGTGTATGTCTCCCCCACCAAAGATGATGGGGTTTTCGCACAAAACATGCTTGGGTTGCCGTCAGCAAGTGTGTCGGAAATGTCGTCAACGTCGCCATGTTTTCCGATTGCAATTGCGATCGGGAAAGCCCGCGACGGAGTATTTTTGCAGGTTGTGTGTGGACAAAGTCACTCGAAGTAGCGGTGCCAAGAGCACTGCAGGACTGGATGGGGTGCATGAAGTACTGAATGGATCACGTTTGGGGTCTTCTCGTTCTGGGGATCAGAAGACGGAGTGGTCGGCGTCCAGCTCGGGGGTTGACGGGTCCATGCGGCTTGGCAAACTGGCGGAATTCACGCGTCAGTGTCACGATAGCATCGCGATGAAGGAAGAGACGATCGCGTGGAACCAGGAGGAATTGCTGGAAATCTCGCAGTATCTCGAGAGTTCGAGCAATCGATCACGCCGTCGTGAACGTCGAGGATCAGGATCTGGGTACAACAGCCAGAGATCTCGACACCGGCATTACAGTGGCGAGAACTCGAGCAGTTCGGCGACTTCCACTGGACGGAAGGAGTCGCCGGTGTACGATAAGCATTACGACTACTCGGACAGCCCCACTGCTGAGAATTTGTATGGAGAGGAGAATAAATACTTTGAAGAGGAGTCGGTGGAGTCCGGTCCGTGGACTGAGTGTCTGCCGAACGAGCGGAGCGGCAAGTGGACCGTCGTGTTCGACGAGGATCGACAGGAGTACGTGCGGATTCGAGTGCCCGGCACGGAGTCGGAAGCGGAACTTTTCGGCTCCTCGCGGGTCAAGGAGAAACCGCGAGCAATTTGTATTGATGAACTGGATTGATGAGCGTTTGGTGAGTTGATTGTGGGTTTAAAGTGTGAGCTGGGCATCCATCGTGTGAATTTGCGTTCAGCAGGTAGAAAAAATCTGAAGTTTGATTCGAGTACTTAAGTAAAGCACCTATTGCATTAACGCTGAAGCTAGCATTTAGTGTGACTTACTATGTAGGCCACCGTGGATTGCATTCTAGTACTTGAATTCTTAAAGCAAAAGTAGGTAACCACCAAAACAAGTATCCTGCTGAAAAAAACAAGTACAAGTACAACCAAAAAATCAAGTTATTAGAATTGTTGAAAGGAACTTCTCCTTTTCGGCAAACTGGCGGCTGAAAATGCTGGAGATCTATGTATTTACAATGAGAGTTCAAGCAACGTTCGAGCAATTGGTCACGCCTCCGCGAACTTTGGAGTTCAGGACCGGCATATTAGAGTTCACGTCACTGAGAACTCGAGTAGTTCTGCAGTCCACAAGATTTACTCAGATAGCCTCACTGAGACCCTCAGTGCTGAGAGCCTATAGCGTAGGATACGGGAAAAGATTTACTATCTCGAAGAGAGGAATTCGTGGAGTTTGGTATGTGATTAATATCATAAATCGCCTGATAGTTCTGTAAAGAATCTAGATTTGGAACAGAATTCAAATTTTGAACCTAAAAGCTGCCATCAAGGTGCTGATATCGTAGATACACAACGGGACGGCGTGTAAAAGCGAGAATGGGTTGACAACCGTTGGCAGCGACGAGCTGCTGTCACCGGGATTACCAGCACTGACAGGTGAGTGTGGGTTTACCAGCTAAAGATTGGGTACTGGAAGCATGTAAATAAGAGCAAGAGCACATCTTTAGACTGAAGTATAATAGACCGTCGCATCCATGCTGTAACCACGACCTTATCAAACCGCATGATACATCAGGGATGACATACTCATAATCTAACGGCTGCGCGTCACGAGCTTCTCAGGTGCTTGCTCACCTGATTGAGCACAAGAAATGATTGGCCTCATCGACTAAATTATGGCGGGCCTTTCTGTCATCGTTAGCGTCACCATAAAGACTAAGAAGATTGCGGCTGCTGGCAGGAAGCAATGCAGCTTCGAGCGAAAGTCTCATAATCCGAGGCCAAGCTCCTCAACGCTCTGCAGCATTTGCACAAATCTCACACTGCGGCCTTCTTGAAGCTCACCCACGCAACTTATTTTTTCAACCCGACGATGGAGGTCAAACCTAGGCAATGGTGCAGCCGATGGCTTCAAAAAGGGGGTGTCACGCGCTTTCTGACTCGAAAGACCGCCCGTTTGCGCTCTTGGGTGGGCCACGACTTCCCGCGGCCTCGCTGCGGAGTGATCCCAACTCGGTCGCTGAATATGCGCGTCATTTCCGCTTTTACTTCGCTCCAGTTCTCTTCGTCCTCATTTTTTCTTCCAGAGTCTGCCGAGCTGCAGCATCGGTGTGTGCCTAAACTCCCAGCCGGTCGTCCAGCCGGTCATTGCGTGCGACCGTTTTCAGTCTTGATCCAGGGATTTGGGGTAACCGCCCCCTCTGCCCACATTTGCTCCGCCCTGCCGCACCACATTAGCGCCGTTCAGTTCCAGATTCACTGGGAACGGAGCACGAGGTCGCAGCACGTACGTTTCCATTGCTTGCCAGTGTTAATGTTTAACACCTCGAGCCTAGTGGTAATTGCCAATCTAACCGTCGTCGCATTGTGCTTTTTGCAGGTTTGGCTTGCCGTGAATGGCAACAGAACAGGATCGAACTTACATAATGGAAGAGCGAACCAGTTCCTTTGTCGAGTTAAAGAACGATACGCCCAAGAGCAAACGAAGTGCGCGTCCGTCCGGCAGCCGCATGTCCCGCAGTCGACAGAGCGCCAGCATGAGCCAGAGCCAAAGCCACGCCCGCAGCCGCGTGCATTCGCACAGCGCCAAACCGTACACGGATGCCGATGCGAATGAAACGATTCTACGTGCCAACGCGCCGCCCAACTACCACGGAGGTTTTAATGGTAAAAAAAAAAACTATTGGCATTGCGATTTGGCAAAGTGATAATCTAAACTTTTTTGCCAATTTTTGCAGATATCATGAAGCAGATCAAGGCCAAGAATTACTACACGCAACAGTTCCAACGCATCCAGCAGCAAACAAACATGGGACGTTCGCTCTACTTCTCCAACGTTGCACCAACGTTCTACGAAGACAACTACTTGTCCATTGCGCAGGAAACGTCGGTAAACCGAGTGCGTGCGTGTTTCTTCATCGGGTTCGTAGGTCTCACAGCGCTCTACATGAACGAGTGGCAATCTGACAAATGGTCCAAGTCCGAGAGCAAAGGACGCACGGATCAGGACGAAACGACCATCATCGTACTGACTTTTGGCGTCATGTTGCCGAGTTTGCTGATTGGAATGCTTGCCACATTCACGAGCATCGGACGGAAATATCTGGAAAACATCACGGCCACAGTGTTCGTGATTGTTGCCGCCATGATGATCGCAAAGAAACCCGTGGAGAAATTCAAAGGCCCCATCATTCCGTTGCTGATTCTGCTGATCCCCATCTTCGGTATCACCAGAATGCGCTACATCAAGTCGTGTTGCATCGGTTGGAGCATTTTCTTCAGCTACCTCATCGTCATGATGAGTGTGCGCAAGACGCTGCCAGAACCCGATCAATTCGACTCGTACACGGACATTTCGTACCAGGCAATTAACTACGGCATCACTGCTATTGGTGGTATGGTGTCGCAATACCGTCAGGAGCTTCTACGTCGTCGAAACTTCTGTTTGCAACTGCCATTCTCCGGTACAATGGACGCCGACGCTGTGGAGGAGATCAAGACTGATAAGTTCAGTAAGAAGACGCTCATGCACCGCTGGTCGCTCAAGTTCCGTCACCCTGAAGTCGAGGAATGCTTCTACCGCTACTGGTATCTTATCGACCCGTTCCCGTACGAGAATCCGAACTCCGGATCGCTGCACCAGGGTGTGTTCCGAACGATCCGCTTCGCTATCTGGACGCTTTTGTTGAATCAGTTGGTGCTGCTACTGCAAGATATCAAGTTCCTCGAGGTCAAGAAGGACGCTCTCGTTGACGACAGCGATCTAACGTACGCTCTGGTACTTCGTTTCGGCGTCACAGTGCCGCTGTATTTCTCGGCTGCATTGTTCATGTATTTCCTGGGTAAAGCCTTCTACGCTCGATGGGTGAAAGAGGCCGAGGATGCCAAGAACGCTGCTCTTACAAGAGACTCGATGGTCTCAGTCGGTGTTAAAAACGACGTCGATAACAAGAGCCAAGTGGTGACCGATCCCGACGGATCGGAAGATACGGCCCGTATGAAGTTGGTCGTGGAGGCAGCGCAGATCAAATATGCGACCAAAGACCGCGTGCTGGACGTTCTCATCAACAAGGGCGGCTACGTGCGTTCAACGCAGGTTTTCTCTTCGGTGGTGATTGCCTGCCATGTGTGTTGCATGGGCATTCTACTGTTGGCAGTCTCCACCGGCGCAAAGGTCGATGCGTATGAGAAAACGCACAACACTTCTCCTGGCCAACCGAAGCCTGTGTACTATATGGGATTCTTGAACGCCGTCTTGTTCGCGCATCGCTCAGGCTTCCGCGTTCGCTTCATCTACGCGACCTACACGACTTTCGTTGTGGCGTTAGGCATCATCATCGCTGCCAGCAGCATGTCGCCCGCCTACTACCAACAGTACGCGGGTTACGTCTCAGTTATCTTCCTCATGGGAATGATGATCTCGTATGAGGAGGAGAGTCTCCGACGTACATTCTTCGTGCTCAAGTCGATCCGAACGCTGGAATTCGAGGAATGGTTTGGCGTCGTGTTACGTATTCAAGGTTGGGTCAAGGAACGTTTCCGCAAAAAGTTGCAGGATGTGCGATCTAATCGCAGCAAGGAGTTCGACAGCACCAGGAAGGCAGAGCCTGTTGCACCACTCATCAACACGTCGGCGCAAATGGCCTATGCCTCCAAACTCGGCATGTACTCGCAGATGTTCAACATCATCATCGCCGTGGCAGACGTGATCACCAGCAGTCTGTAAAACGAAAGAGTGGTGCATGTAGTGAGTGTATTTCTTGATAAAAAAAAACAAACGCAAAATAAAGACAAGCAAATGCGTCAAATAAAAACGAGAGTGTTGGTTGGCAATGGTATTTGCTGATGGGCGTCTATATATTTTTTTTTCAATAACTTCCTCATACAAGGGAGATATTCAGTCTAGTTCATCGACACTAAAGAATTTCTGGTGTGGCACCGAGTTATCGTCCGATGCGTAGCTCCGAGACACTCGACGATCCATTTTCTCCTGGCTGGGCGGAGGCAGAGAACTGCCCGGCTGGAAACCTTGAGTGTAGCTTTGAGTTCGTCGTGCGTGGCTGTTGCTACTGCTGGCGGTTGTGTGGCTGCTGTTCTCTGAAAACTGAGGCCGCTTGAATTGTCCAGATCCTCTTAGAATATCGGAGAAATAGTCGAGCTCTTCCTGGTTCCACTGCATATCTCTTGCGTTCGCCATACTTGCTCGTTCCACAAAGCTAGCGAGACCATCCAGGTTCTCCGGTAGGTCTGGGGCCCCTGACGGCCACGCATCCGAGTCAACTTCAGAGAAATCGTGCGAATGGGGAGACGACGAGGGACTGCTGCTGCTGTGCTTGACTCCCGACGCCGACGTCGATATGGAATTAGAGCTTTGGAAGTTGCCACTATCGTTCGTGGACTCGTTCAGACTGCAAATGTAGAAATTCGAAATAGTAGGGCGCGTTACCTCCGAGATGCATTGCGAGCAAAATCTCTCCTTGCCAGGTTTCTGCGTACGCAATTCGAGACGGAACACGGTGCACCACTCGCGACACTTTCGGCACGTGTTTCGCCGACAGCCCATGCAGAGTTTAAGCGACCCACTCAACATGTTTGGCTTCTTCATACACACATCGCAGGAGGTACTGGTAGACGGGATCCGATCGGCGCTGCTGGCAATGCGAGCCGAATACGCTTTGGCACGAGCTACGATGAGGAAATTACCCACGGACAGCATTCGCTCCGCCGTGATGAGCTCACTCACACTTCGCGGGAGTGTACCACCCATAGAGGAACTACCCATGATAAAACAACCCACCCACTCTTCCTGTACCTGTCGGAAAAGGTAGCACAACGAGATGAAACTACGTTCCAAATTATGCTGTCGGTTGGCTGGGAACTCGTCCAGATCGATCGAGTCCATAACGCAGTAGACAAAGTATCGTCCTCGACGATCGACGATGCGGCCGATACGGTTGTAGAAGAGCATGTCGCGGTCGTGGATGATCGAGGCGTTGGTCGGCGTCTTGAGCGCCAGCCACTTGACGCCCGAGAAGACGACGCTACTGGTGACGGCGTTCTTTTCGAACACGTGGAGCACTCTGGCGTCGAGGAATTTGTCCATGAGAACGGTAAGTCCAATCCTCATGTTCTCGGTATCGTCAAAATACGTGCCACTTATCATGTCCTCGACAGTTCCAGGCATAACTCCGCTACAGAGGTACACTCGACTGTCACTGGACTTGGATTTGCCCCGTTCCCTGTAAATGTTAAGCGATTTCTTCCGCTTCACGAGTCTCCATTGCTTGGCCGTCTTGGTGTGCTTCTTGTTCGTGTGGAAGTCGTCATACACATGCAGCGCCCTGTCCACGAGGTCGTCGCTCGTGGACTCGAGCTGCTGTTTCCGCTCCTTAGTAAACTGTAGACGCGGGAGGCCTCCCAGCGAGCTGCTGAGGTCGGTCATTCCTCCGTGGTGCGAAAGTCTCCGTTGATACAATGCAAAATGGGAACTTGCAAGTCGTGGCCATGCAACGCTAAACTCGGCCGGACCACCCAGTGTGCCCCCACAAATCCCGCAGACTTGCTTCCATCCTGTGCCAGCACCCGTTCTATGGTTGCGGCGACACGACGACGCGAGCCAAAGGCAACAAGAGCAGAGTCAGCAAAATGAACCGTCCAATCTGGAGAGCTACGGCGAAGCGACAGCGAGGTTGTATTATGCAGGGTGGTCTCCACTAACAACCCGTTCGAAATCGTAGCCGGTGGCGGAGTTTCAGAGTAGACGACCGAACGCTTGGTTGTCTGCGCTCTAAATAATTCCAACAAGAAGAAGCCAGGTCCAAGTGCTTGTGTACTATTGTCACTACTGTACAAATGTAGTTTTCGCTTGGTGGAAATGCCAGCTCAAGTGCTCGGTACAGCCAGGCCAAGTGGAACGTGTCCACGCTTCATACCACTGGGACGAATCAAACTGTCCAAGTCATTAAGTATGATATGATACCAGCACGGGTGATTGCAGAGAAATGCGGTTTGCAGTGAAATGCTTGTGGTGAAAAAGTCATCAAGCGAAGCGGCGTGTCAATGCCCATGCATGGCCGATGGACACACGGCTCCCGCGACGACTTACAACTTGTAAGTTACAAGTGCCGTGAAGGTACACCCTACCGTTTCCTCCGTTATTTTTTTTTGACAGTACATCAATGGCAACCTCTGTTTGAACTGAACTTAGAGAAGATGGCTAAATTTTCACCATTTCGGTTCAGTCAACTTCAACTCCATTGTCCTCCGGACGTCCTCACCACCCACGTGGATCACCGCATCGTCAGCTCCAAGTGCCGAAATGAAAATAACGTTTCCCGCAGTAAAGTATAAGTTGTCAAGCTTCGGAATTGACAATTCTCTGCCAAATTGTCAATACCCGTTCCACTGACAAGAGATTCTCGGACCCGCCACTTTTTCCTTCTCTTTGCTTCGTTCGGACAATCATCCACCGCGAGAGAGACTCCGGAGCAGCGCTTGATTGTCTTGCGACTTGACGTCTTTCATTCCGCTTCGCATACCCATCTGGCTGATGGAGCCGCACTGCACCTGGACAGTCCGCCAGTGTGCACATTGGTGTCGGGCTTCAAGTCCGTCGAGCGCAGGCACCGCCGTCTTCTTCAATTGCTAGAGAGGCCATTTTCCCTTCTCGTCGTCGTGGCAGATCCGCCACCGGAGTGATGGGAGGGGCGAGGATACCGAAAATACAATACTAGTATAAGTCAATTGGAAGAAAAGTCGAAAAAATAAAAAGCATTTGAAATCGTCCTTTTCGATAAAAAAATAATAATTGAAGACGTAGTGATACAAAATAGATAATTGGTTGTTTTGCAAGTCCGGTTTTGGTAATGCATGCATAGTACGGTGGGAGAAAAATGCAGCTAAATCCGAGCAAATGGCTGAAGGATGCATGAGAAAATCTGACAGCGGCATTTAGAGCGATTTTAATAAAAACATAAAAAACGTGGTTCGAAACAGGAAAGAGAATATTGCTATCAATAGCACATACATAATTTCATGCACAAGTATCAATATATTGTTTTGAATATTTACTTTCGGAATCTCTGGAGGCGCAAGCTGGTCTTTGAGGCGCTGCGGTGGGCTGCATTGGCAAATGTCAAATTCGCCGCAATTTTTCGTGTAGCAGGCACGGTTCGTTCCAGCAAGCAATTTTCATGTCAAAGCCATTTTATATTCCGTATTTGAACGCTTTTAACTGCATAAAGCAGATTCAATAAAAATGATAACACTCAATTGAAAGTGAACAGAAAAAAACAATTGATTGCTCAAACGGTATTATAGAGCAAGTCTACCCTAAAATCAAAGCAAATTAATCTGAAAAAATTTTAATCCGAAAACGCCAGACTTAATTTCAGTAAAGAACACGATAATATAGCCGATAATGGTGCTTCTGGTTGTGCAATAGTGTAATTAGCGGGACGTATCAAACGTAAATACAACTTCAAATTCTACAAATATCGAATAGAACATGTTGAAAAATTATATTAAAGTAATGACAGTTTTAACCAAAATGATTATTTTTTATTGAAAACTGAAATTATTCAAATTTAATAAAGACAGTATTTTAAAGGAGTAAATCTCTTTACATTGATTAAAAAAATGCATAATCTGTCAGGCATTCAAAAATTATCATTGAGCTGAAATTGCATTACAATATTTTACGGTAAATAATTTATTTTGCCATGAAATCCTTCGTCTTTGACAGTACACGAACGAAAACTTCTGTTGGACGAACTAAAGGATGGTAAACTTTTCACCCCTTCAACTCAATGCCAATTATTGTCCTCCAGAGACGTCCTCAGCACGGGATCGTCAGTTCCGAGCGCCGAAATGAAAACGTTTCCCGCAGTTAAAATCTCGCAACGGCAGCGTTGACGAGCTTCGGAGTTGGCAATTCTCTGCCAAATTGTCAATGCCCGTTCCAGTGGCAAGAGATCCGCCAACGTATTCCTTCTCTAAGAGAATCTCTTTGTTCAGGCATGCATCGCAAGAGAGAGAGAGAGAGACTCGGGAGTAGCGCTTGATTGTCTTGCGACTCGACTCCCGCTTCGCATACCCATCTGGCTGATGGAGCCGCACCAGGACAGTCCGCCACTCTTTTTGTCACTAGTGTGCGCGTGGAGCTTCAAGTCCGTCGAGCACAGGCACCGCCGTCTTCTTCAATTGCTAGAGAGGCCATTTTCCCTTCTCGTCGCCGTGGCAGATCCGCTACCGGCATGATGGGAGGTGCTGCATCGGCGCTACGTGAGTAACTCACTTGACATTTTGGCCGACTGGGTTCCAGCTGGTTAATTTCCGTGTTGCCTTGGGTTGTCACTGCGGGAGAGAATGAATGCGAGAGTTCAGGGCCAAAAGGCAACTAGTTCGCGGAAGAGAGTGAAAAGGCGGTCTGTTTCTCTTTTGTTGCGGCCACTTCCCTCTTTGCCAGCAAAAGCCGAAGGGTCTCGGCAATCTTTTGAGGATGAACAAGGAGAACGCCAAGGTGCGCGGCAACCAGCGCAAGCTGACGTTCCAGCGCCGCAAGAAGCCGGCCAACGCGCTGCGCATCGACCCCAATGCGGCCCCCACACGCACCAGCACGTTCTTCGGCACGGTGGGTTCGCCCATCAAAATGGGCCCGGGAAACGCCCCGGCCGGACGGCGAGCGCCTAAACTGCCACCGCGGCCGGCACCGGATGCGCCTGTTGACTCGGAGGCCGCGACGCTGGACATCAACCAGAAGGCAGCGTTCCGTGAGGAGCTACGACGGCAGCAGAAGGCCAAGCAACGGGCCGAGAAGGCCACGCAGCAGGAAAAGGAGACCAAGAATGAGGAGGAAGCGGTGGCCACAGTCCGTAATGACAACGGCCGCAAGCACCGTGGCCGACGTAACTCGACAGAGTTCATTGGCCAACCGATGGAGCCCGTACAGCAGCTCAAACTGGACGGGGCCAAGAAGGCCAAGATCCCGCACTTCCTGTCGGCCTGGTTCAATGCCGGCCACGACACTAAGGCCACCAACGACACGGATAATAGCGACGCCGAGTCTGCCAAGACCGATCTGACTATCATCAGTGTAGGCGAGAAGGACGTCAAGGCCGAACCAGCCAAACAGGAGGCCAACGCTGTGGCCAAACCTCCGCCAGCCCCAGTGGAAGTGGCAAAGGACAAAACAGCGATGAAACACAGACCCACCAGTTACAGTCAGAACATCAACTTCAGTGAGATCACGTTGGGCCGAATGATCGGAGAAGGCGCTTTCGGAAAGGTGCACGAAGGCAAATGGCGAGGCAAAAGTGTGGCCGTCAAGTTGCTCATTTGCCAGGACCTGCGCAGCGACATTCTCAATGAGTTCCAGTCCGAAGTGGAAATCATGAGTGTGTTGCGTCACCCGAACATTTGCCGACTGCTTGGTGCGTGCATGGAGCCACCACACCGAGCTCTAGTGGTGGAACTGTTGCAACGTGGATCGTTGTGGGGAGTGTTGCGAATGAACCGCAAATCGATCGACCAGGAGATGAGGTCGCGCTTTATCTACGACACGGCCAAGGGCATGTCGTACTTGCACCACTTTGAGCGCCCCATTTTGCACCGAGATTTGAAAAGTCCCAATTTGCTGGTGGACAAAAACTTCAACATCAAGTTGTCGGACTTTGGCCTGGCTCGAGTGAAGGCCCACGTGCAAACCATGACTGGAAATTGCGGTACTGTCCAGTGGATGGCGCCGGAAGTGCTGGGCAACCAGAAGTACACGGAGAAGGCCGACGTGTTCTCGTTCGGTATCGTCATTTGGGAGATTGTTACGGGCGAGTGTCCGTACGACGGCATGAGCCAGATTCAGGCCGCGCTGGGCGTTCTGAACCGCAACTTGAGGCCGAATATCCCGCGTGACTGCCCGCCGTTCTTCTCGCGACTGATGAAGGCGTGCTGGAACCGTCAGCCAGAGTTGCGCCCCAGCTTCCCGCACATCGTCAACGCCTTCCGCACGTACCAGAGCTCCATTTCCGAGTCGCGAGCGACCAGCAGCGCCGCCGCGTCGGCCAAGGCCGCCATGGCCGCTTCGGTGGCCGCTTCTTAGGCCGCCACGCCTGGTCCTCGCAAGTAGAGGACGATACACGAACAAGAGATACACTGCTTGGTAAATGAGGACAAGCAGACAAAGGGATACTCAAAATGATGATACATGTGATTTCATGTGTACTCGATTGTCAAATTTCGTTTCCTTTGACAAGAGAATGTTTGTCTTTTGTTTCGCTACAATGACTTCAACTTGTAGCTTTACATTCACTCTTTCAACGTCAGAGCGGCAATGCCAAGGTAAATATAAACGGAGCTGAGTGTATGTTTTGATTGTATGTATTGTGGTTGCAAAAGGTCGACACTATCCTCGCTCCGCCCCCACGCATCTACTGCAATTGCTCTGCAGAAAATATCTACGCATCGACCTTGGACACGACACCGGCGCCGATGGTGCGGCCGCCCTCACGGATGCTGAACTTCATACCGTTGTCCAGAGCGATGGGGTGGATGAGCTCAATGTCAATGGCCGTGTTATCGCCAGGCATGACCATCTCCGTGCCGTCCTTAAGCAGGATGTTGCCGGTCACATCGGCCGTACGGAAGAAGAACTGCGGTCGGTAGTTGCTGAAGAACGGCGTGTGGCGGCCGCCCTCCTCCTTCTTAAGCACATACACCTCGGCCTCGAACTTGGTGTGCGGGTTGATGGTGCCGGGCTTGCACAGCACCTGGCCACGCAGCACTTCGTCGCGCTTCAGGCCACGCAGCAGCAGGCCGACGTTGTCACCAGCCTGGCCACGGTCCAGAGACTTCTTGAACATCTCAACACCCGTGCACGTGGTCTTGGTGCTGGGCTTGAGGCCGACAAGTTCCACTTCGTCACCAGTGTTAATAACGCCCTGCTCCACACGGCCCGACACGACGGTACCACGGCCCGAGATGGAGAATACGTCCTCAACGGGCATCAGGAAGGGCTTCTCGAAGTCACGCACGGGGTCCGGGATGTAGGCGTCCACCTCGTCCATGAGCTTAAGCACGGCGTCACGGCCGATGGGGTGGTCGCGGCCCTCAACAGCGGCAAGAGCCGAGCCCTGCACGACCGGGATGTCGTCGGCCGGGAAGTCGTAGGCCTCCAGCAGCTCACGGATCTCCATCTCCACAAGCTCCAGCAGCTCCTCGTCGTCCACCTGGTCCACCTTGTTCATGAAGACCACAAGGGCCGGCACACCGACCTGACGGGCCAGCAGAATGTGCTCACGAGTCTGAGGCATCGGGCCGTCACCGGCCGACACGACGAGGATACCGCCGTCCATCTGGGCCGCGCCCGTGATCATGTTCTTAACGTAGTCAGCGTGACCGGGGCAGTCAACGTGAGCGTAGTGGCGCTTGGACGTCTCGTACTCGACGTGGGCCGTGGAGATGGTGATACCACGGGCACGCTCTTCGGGCGCCTTGTCGATGTCGGCGTAGCTCGTGAACTCAGCACCGCCAGTCTCCGACAGAACCTTGGTAATGGCGGCCGTGAGCGTGGTCTTGCCGTGATCGACGTGGCCAATGGTGCCAACGTTCAGGTGAGGCTTGGAGCGGTCGAACGTGGCCATGGAGCGCGTGGCCGAGCGGCTGCCGGCCTTGGCCGACGTGGCCAGGAGCTTACGGAGGAACACCATTAGATCGGATCGAGAGGGTCTTTGACTGTGCGGCTGTGCGGAGACTGAGCCGAGTGGCTGTGCGGCTGAGAGGCAAGGATGGGTGGCATGGGGTGTTAGACTTGGGTTTCACAAAGAGTTGGGATGGGGTGTTGAACCACCGAATGGTTGGCTAATAAAAGCGAATTTCGGCCTATCACGTATGCGTTTGTCTAGAAACGCACAAATAGCCACATTCTTGAAGCTCTAGTCAAAGTATCTTCTTCAATGGTGTAGGCATTCTGTAGTTTCGCGCTCACATGGTGGAGACACCCTCTTGGCCTCTTGGGTGTCCAAGGGGCCTTCGCGAAACAACCAGCCAGCAGCAAATTTTTATCGGCACTCCGCTTTCAAATGATCGGACGGTAAAATTTATCACGAACGCATGTAGAAATTATACAAAATGCGTTGTTGTCGTATGCAGCGCTTGGGCGTAGGGGGTAAACCGACGACAGTGTAGTGGGCTTGATATTCAAGCCAGTACACCGATTACAAGATGAGCAAGGCCACAAAACAACTATACTATATTGCTTTTATCGCGAGAGCTTCCATGACGGTCCTTGCATTCACGGATATTGGTACAAAGCTCATTCACCGGTGGTTTCTTAAAAGAAAGTCAACAACTTTAAGTGAAACGCGTAAGTCTGATCTCAATTTTACTGGAGGAAGGTGGGCTCTAACAATTGTTCGCCTGTCTCGACGCCCGTGTAAAACCTCAACTTCCCACCAGCACGCGATGTACTACCCAATCTAGGGGGTTTCTACAGTAGACCCTTGTAGAACTCATAAAGTACCGAGTGGGCATCCTGGATACGCGCAGGTACGTCCAACAGGTTTTCGTCGGTCAATCCATAGATAATATACATTATTTGAATTCGTTAATATACCGGCTCAATCTACTGGCGCTACGAAACTAACGGCGACCTGTGTGGAATTTCCACAGGATGAACGCAAATATGGCCTGGAAAGCCACAATGTACACGATCAACACCACCATATCTTGGGAAACATTCACGTCCTCCATGCCATATTTCGTCAGAATGGCTTTGGCTGCATCCGACGTCTCATTCTCAAATTGCTTGAACACAAATGACTCGAACGAGTACGAGTGGAACGCCAGGTAGTAGCCCCAGATCCAGTAGTCCGGGATCGAGTCTCGAGGAACCATGAAACCCTCGCATAGCATGAACATGCCGAACACACCGGCACCCAATGCGATACCGATGATGTAGTGCGGTACGGCGGCTCCGATCACGTGCATCATCGACTCGGCCACTACCAGTGACAGGAACAGGTTCAATAGGAAATATTCGATGGCGTTCAGACCCGCTAGAAGCACCACCAGAGCCGTCGACATCGCTGCGATAAGGAAGATACCCGGTAGTGTAGCCAAGAAGTTGGCACACACGTAACTCACCACACTCAATGAACTGTTGGCACGTTCACGAGCAAACACTGCACGCTGTTCAATGAAGAACGGCAGTACGGCCACAGACATGAACACCAGGAACGCCTGGACGTAGAACAGTAGAGGCACCAGGTCCTCCTCCGTCAAGTCGTCGTTCGTGCTCAGGTACATTGTGCCAACCATGAAGCTCAAGCAGAAGTACATGAACAACCGGATCCAGTAGATCCCCGGGTTGCGGATGTTGTTGAGCGTGTTGCGGTACATGAGCACACTGAATTGGCGCAGCGACGATGGCGACGGCTGCTCGATATCCGGCAGATGCTGCAGCGTCTTGCGGTCGCTCTCGATGCGGTTGCTCAGCTCCTTACGGATCTCGCTCTGTGCGTACGACTGCACCAGTTTGGGCACGTCCGCGTGGTCCTCGAAGTCCGTGTTCACCAGACTGATAAAGTACTCGGCCGGGTTCATATACGTGGGGCAGTCGTGACCGGCCGACGCGAAGTGCGGGATCATCAGACGACGGGGACCGCAGTACACGGTCTGGCCGGCCGACAGCACCACCACGTTCGTGAACATGTCGTACACCAGCGACGACGGCTGGTGGATCGTGCACACGATGGTTTTGCCCTCGGCGCACAGCTTCACAATGAACTTCATGACGTTGTGCGTGGCGCTGGAATCCAGGCCACTCGTGGGCTCGTCCAGGATCAGGATGCTCGGGTTCGACAGCAGCTCGATGGCGATACTGAGGCGGCGCTTTTGGCCACCCGATAGACCCTTGCGGAAGATGTCGCCTACCAGAGTGTGGCGGCACGTGGCCAGACCCATGGCCTCCACCACGTCGTCCACGCGGGTCTCGATCTGTTTGGACGTGACGCTGTTGGGGAGACTGAGCTTGGCGGCCATGCGCATGGTTTCTAATACCGTGAAGGAACCGAGCAGCGAGTCCTCCTGAGCCACGTAACTGGTTACGGCCCGGAACGTCTTGGCCACGCGGGCCTCACCGTTGAGCTCGATGTCGCCTGTTACCTCTCCGGAGCTGATGCGGTCGGCCAGTAGATCAACGAGCGTGGTTTTGCCTGATCCGGATGGGCCCATGATGGCCGTGAGTTCTCCGGGTGCGCATCGACCGCTGACGTTGTTCAGGATGGTCTTCTTGCCTTTAGGATCGTCGGCCGTCTTCGGGGTGTCGACTGTGTAGCTTAAGTTGTTCCAGCAGAGTATACATGGGTTGTTCAAATGCTGGTAGGACGGTTCCAGTTTGCCTCGCGTTTCAAGCGACTGCGATTCCAACATGGCATACGATAAACCTCGAGCGGAACGGGGTGACTCCATCACGAAGGTCATGGGAATGTCTGTAGTTGCTATCTCGAAGAAGGACTAGTAGTAGTTGCCTAGTAGTTGGATAAATGAATGTGAGAATTTTGGTGTGGCAATGGGATTGTGCCTAACAATCGACGCCATGTCACTTGCGTAAGCTTTTGCCTGACATGACGGACAGGCATGTCGGGTCAGGCGTAGCAAAGCTAGATATCAAGAGGAATTTTTGATGTGTCAATGACGAATGGATATTAGCGCAACCTTGAGATAGAGGCGGTCGTCGCGTTTAACGGTGCGTGTCTGTCCAGGCCTCAACGACACTTGTTACATGCATCACTTGTGCGTCCGAGTCCAAGTAGCAACGTCGTGGTGACACTGCAGCTCGGGTCTCAACACTTGGCATCTGGAATCGTAAGGCAGACAAGCTCAAGTTGAAGACGTCTAGTTAAGTCGTCGGCCAGCTGATGGGTTGTTTGCCACAACTTGGGTAGCTACGAATTGTAGTTTACGATGACCTAATGGCCGGTTGCGGTGGTTTGTTGGCTCGTGTAAGTCGAGGGCCTGACCTGACCGGTGGCTGAAAGAATTCAAGTCAGGCGTGGCCGAATGAACCCGACAAGACAGGCACGTCATGTAAGGAGTACCAACTTCCATGTCCGCAACCAAGTTGCTGTCGTCTCCAGCTGGATCGTCAAGTGGTCTGACCACTACTCACCGACGATGGGCCGACTGCAACGGCGGCACGCTGTCGGGGACACCGCCAGTGAATCTCCTCGCTCCGTCAAGCCGGTGATCTTTCGCGCCCGACGTCTCAAATGTAGCTAGCTACGCCTGACTCGATGCTGCGTATCGCTATTCGTGTTGGTCAGGCGTATGGCATCCAATCTGCGAATGACAGGAAGAGTATGTTTCTCTATGCGGTGCTGCATGCGCCTGACCCTGGACGCCGTGTGCCTGACCTCATTCCCCCGTCCTTGTAGCGTCGTCTCCATCAGCGGTATCGTTACTGACCCGTTGATACCTCTCCGCCGTGTCCCTGTTGCCGCTGGAAAGGCGAGACGTCCTGGCCAGCACCCGGTGAAATGGCCAGGGATTTGCACACTTTGCAATTCGCGTTGGCGTGCGTCGCTCCATCCGGTTGCATCCAGGCCGTCACAATCCAACTCGCCCAGTCGGAGCGCGACCGTCTCCGTTCCTCCACCGGTAGCACGGCCAACAGCTTGTGCTTCTTCGTGCTGGACCCGGACCGTCACCCGTCGATCTCTGTCATGGCCTCCCCACACTCGACACCCTACGCAGCGATGGACTCGCTGGAAACTGGGGGCAAGCCCGAGCCGTCCTACCAGCACATCTCCAACCCGTGCGTGCTCAGTTGGAACAACCTCAGCTACGGAGTGGCCACCCGCAAGACGGCCGACGATCCTAAAGGCAAGAAGACCATCCTGAACAACGTCAGCGGTCGATGCGCACCCGGAGAACTCACGGCCATCATGGGCCCATCCGGATCAGGCAAAACCACGCTCGTTGATCTACTGGCCGACCGCATCAGCTCTGGAGAGGTAACAGGCGACATCGAGCTCAACGGTGAGGCCCGCGTGGCCAAGACGTTCCGGGCCGTAACCAGTTACGTGGCTCAGGAGGACTCGCTGCTCGGTTCCTTCACGGTATTAGAAACCATGCGCATGGCCGCCAAGCTCAGTCTCCCCAACAGCGTCACGTCCAAACAGATCGAGACTCGCGTGGACGACGTGGTGGAGGCCATGGGTCTGGCCACGTGCCGCCACACTCTGGTAGGCGACATCTTCCGCAAGGGTCTATCGGGTGGCCAAAAGCGCCGCCTCAGTATCGCCATCGAGCTGCTGTCGAACCCGAGCATCCTGATCCTGGACGAGCCCACGAGTGGCCTGGATTCCAGCGCCACGCACAACGTCATGAAGTTCATTGTGAAGCTGTGCGCCGAGGGCAAAACCATCGTGTGCACGATCCACCAGCCGTCGTCGCTGGTGTACGACATGTTCACGAACGTGGTGGTGCTGTCGGCCGGCCAGACCGTGTACTGCGGTCCCCGTCGTCTGATGATCCCGCACTTCGCGTTGGCTGGTCACGACTGCCCCACGTATATGAACCCGGCCGAGTACTTTATCAGTCTGGTGAACACGGACTTCGAGGACCACGCGGACGTGCCCAAACTGGTGCAGTCGTACGCACAGAGCGAGATCCGTAAGGAGCTGAGCAACCGCATCGAGAGCGACCGCAAGACGCTGCAGCATCTGCCGGATATCGAGCAGCCGTCGCCATCGTCGCTGCGCCA